TATAACATATGTTGATTATTTCTTCCGTTCCACTATGAGCACTACAATTATTTCGCTCTGTACGATCTTGGTGTGAGTAAAAATGTAAAATTAAAAATTGACAAAACTACGAACTTTAAATTGGGTAATATACATGTAAATATTGTGTATAGAAAATAAATCTGTAAATATATTCAGGCCTGCCGGGTGAAAACGGGATTTCGTGAAAAAATTACGGATAAATTCTTTCTAAAATGGATTAACGTTCATCAGTTTTTATCAGGCATCAGTATTGTAATCGTATACATTCAGTTTATTTCGATCTTTTTCCAATAAATACAAGAAAATGGGAAAAAATGTAATTACTGAATAATTATCATGTCCCTCCACAATAATGTAATTATACATTTTTACGTATCATCGATCGTATTTTATTTTTTAACTCAGTCGAAAGTACAGTCCCAATAAAATACTGTTTCACTGTTTCGATTGTCACTTCGTGCACGATAATATTATTATTATGTCAGTTGCATTGTTGGTATTGAAATCGGTATAAACTCATTGGACACACGTTAAATACATAATACTTTAATACTTTTTTTTATACTAAAAAAAACTTTTTACTAACTTATAATAGTACAAATAATACATATAATAACAACATAAAATATATAATATATATATAGTAAAATTTGCATACAATAGAAAAACGTATCGAATTGTGTATGGATACGGTAAAGCTACGCGTGTACACCTAAGTACATTGATTACAGACATTTTAATTAATATACGTAACGTAATTTTTACAATAATATAGAATATAACTCATCAGCATATATACAGACACATTACACAATATTAATAACTCTTTGACAAACATGATGAAGAACAACGTTTATCTTGAAATTATTTTCGATGCACCAAGCGGCATTGTTTTAACGCAACTATTATAAACTACTTCAAACTCCTGAAATTCTGCTTCTAAAACGTTCAAGTTTCGAGGGTACACATATGCCACAGTTGTAAATCAAATGGTTGAAGGAGTATATATATATGAACAGTATAAATGCGTGCACACTATATTATGTGAATAGATAGGTTTTTTTTTTTTTATATGCATATAAAAGTATACTATAAAAATAGTTAAAAAAAATGTTGTATATATATATATACAGAGGGACCATGTCGGTATAGTACAATATAGATAAATATTTTGATCTCCGACGACGTACTGCTGTATGTTATATATGCATGTTCAAGAAGAAAACTGAGATAATTGAATTTAATTGGTGTAACTTAGCGTGGGTACTTATAGACACAATATTTATTGTGCTCGAATCACGTAAATACGATATACGAGTAGTGTGTACGTATAGTGAACGACAACGGTTTTCAAGTTTTGAATAAAAAAAATATATTTTTCTCTAACTTAATAGATTTCAAGTTGCGGACGCCAATAAAAGTAATATTGATGACATCGTATAAAGTATGACATTACATATAAACACAACCACACACTTTTTGTCAGACGAATATTTCATCTCGTCATTTTCGTTCGTGTTTTTCATTTTTACTATCAGCATTTAGACAAGTATACGCTTACGAAAGCGTACTCTTTTTTTCTTTCCTTATTTACTTGGATTTTTCCTACTTTTTTTAGTTTTTCCGTAAGAATAAACATCGGGGAAAAGTTTTTCGCGTACCGTCGTTGCTGACTATCGTCTGGACCTCAAGTGAAATACATAAATTGTTCGTGAAACTTTCGTCTTTTATTCATCAACGATGGCCACGTATGGCGGACCCGCCCTATTACTTACGCGGTTGCTGTATCGTTGTAATATAATAGCGATACAAATCGCTTAAGTGCTGATATCATATTGTTCAGAGTTTGATTTAAATCGTGTACTCATATATTTCGGTCTCTCATTGTAGCAAAATGTAAAATAGTCTTATTTACGAAAAAATATATTTTTACCTACGTTTGACACGATGAGTTATCTCTCTTTAACCATACAACGTGGATAACTACAATCTAAATAAGTGTAATAATTACGAGTGAAAATGGAACCGGTGATGGCCCAGTAATTGCGCGTCAATATCTAGCGCATAGATCTATGGATTTTCAAAAGTCCTATCATTGCATATTTTTCTATCGAGATTTTCGCACCTACGACACCCCTACCTCCTCCCACTTTAACGAACATAGGTTCGTGTTATGTTTTACACATAAACACGATGTATACTGGTTACACAGTATAAAGTATAGCACAGTATACAGTATTATGTATACTTGGTCGTTTATTTATTTATTCGTAAAATAATTTTTTCTTTATTTAGTATTATTTTCCAAATGCTCAACACTTAATTATATGCGTGAACTTCATATTCAGAGTAAAAGCTTTACATGTTCTGTATATGTATATGAATATATTCTAAATGTTAAAAAAAGGCACTTTTTTAAGTAAAAACTGAACATAGGAAGTATTTTAAAAAGGTAATTTTTCGATTTTTTATTTTTTATTTACGCATTATTTAAGCACTTTAAACAAAAATAAGTCTGTAAAAAAGTTTGAATTTGCTTAATCATACATATGACTTCTTGTTTGTTTATCTTCTAATACAGTTATTACTTTGAGTTTAAATATTTAAAATCATTTTACAATATAATATTATTATTCATATTTGGTATATTACTATATAGTTATAGTTTATATCCATTATCGAATATCTTGATAAATATATATTTATTTATACACACTTAATATGCAATGAATATGGAATATTTAATATGATCTTACCAATGGATCGTTTTTCAAATACAATATTATTATAATTATTATATTATTAAAACGTTATTATACTGATTTATAAAATCGAGACGAGTGGAGTCTTAAGATAAGGGTGACTCGTCTCAAAAAGTTGGAAGAAAGGAGAAGGTGAAGGAGAAGAAGAAGAAGAAGAATATGTTATAATATTATTTTCGTGTATAAATAAATATACCTGTTCCTGCAACAATCAATCCAATTTTTATATTTCTTAGGTCATCTCTTTGAGATAGCATACGAAACGTATTTATAAACTACTACTGCCACAGGGGCGGATCCAGAGTCGGGGAACTGTGGGTCAAGCCATTTCAAGAGGCCATTTATTAGAGTAGATACTGAATTAGAAATGAATACCTTGTAAAAAAAAAAAAAACACAATATGCTCATAAAAGTGTGTAAGTATATTTATATTACATTTTAGAATTAGTGATACCACCGATAATGACTTATTTACGATCAATAAATATGATCTAATTTTATCAGCACTATAAACGTACGGAATAAAATATGATTTACTAAACTTTTTACAAAAACGTTATAATTTAAAATATAAATTATGAATTGTTTATTTTTCTAATAACTCCGATGGGCCAACTGTCTAAGAGTTCAAATCAAGGTCTAAAAAGAGAAAACAATTTCCAAGAGGCCAATTTTGCCAAAAAATATTAACTGTGGGTCATTTGATCACCTGAACCCCCCCTAGATTCACCCCTATCACTGCGATGATAACATAAGTTATCGATAGGTATCTACGTATGAGCATAAATATACTTTATCACTCGTTCAAAACTAAATTAGACGTATTATATTGGTATTTTTCTCGACACGCGACTTTCAGTATTCTTTTACAATTGTATTTATGCATTTTATATTTTTTTGAAGTATAACACTTATACGTGACAGCGAGTAAATAATGCTGTACTCTTTTCAAATCACTACGTCAATCGTTTTTGATTTCCGATTTAAGCTTTTATCAAAGTGTGCAAGTGTACAATAGTAAATAGACGTATATTATATATTTGTACATAGTGTTTATTTATTTATTTTGTGCGTCAAGTATATTGTTCCAAAACATATTATTGGTTATTTTCGTGATAAATCGTCTATGTTAAGGTTTGGTTTTCAAATTAATCGAAACGTTGAATTTTGCCTAACCAGGGTAACGCATTTCCATTAGGTTATAAATAATTATACCTTTATTTTTATGTAGGTAGACGTTAGGTGCCAGTTAAATTTTTATACTCGGCGATAAAGTAGCTATTGTCTGTGTAATATATACACTTTACAACTAAAAAAAATCGTTTATATTTTAATTTTATCGTTTATTTGTGCAAATAAAAATATTCATCCTTTTAACTCGAGTAGATTAATTGATAACGCGACAAATAAAAAAATAAAACCGCTGTTTATAGAGAATCTAGTAATACATATTATACTCTAAAAGCCGTCATAAATTTGATATAAAATAAGCTGTGAAACTTAATAATTATTAACTGAAGGCCGAATGCTATCACGAAAAGTGTGTTAATGGCTGAGGTTTACAGTGGTAAATAATACAATGTATGAGAAAAGATATTATTTTCTAAATCTACAGTTTTTGATTTATAATAATATTCATTATAAATGAAGCTGAACTGTTAGATTTCAATTCATTCTTACGATAATTCAATATCTTATAGATATTTTCAATATCTGACTGAATAGTGATAAATTGTTCTGATATAAATATCGAAAATAAATTATTAAGAAATTAATAGAACCTTTACTTTTTGTATTTTATCAACAGTTGAAACATATAAATATGAAAGAAGGTTTGTTGATGACAAACAATATTGAAAATCTGCAGTTTACATAAATTGCAAGTTCAACGGAAAAAAAAATGACATTTATTTTCTGAGCCAAATGTTTCTCTCTTACTGATAAAGTGCAAGCCAAAAGCTTGTCACAAACAACCATGCCGAACGATAAATCAAATAGCATTGTTTTAAAACATTTACAGTAGAACCATGTTTATATATAAATCGAAATGAGTGTACACACAAGTTTTTTAAACAGGAATTATTATTCCTGGCAAACGTGGTGGATTTCTTTTGTTTGGCATATACTTATACACACACGGATCAGGATTAATAATAGATATAGGCGCCTTCATAATAATAATGGTAAACCAATGATGTTTTGTTCAAGACCACTAACCTTTCTGAACGTCTCTTGCGGCCACGTTTCCTCGCAAAAATCTTTGCCATACATCTCCTTGTTGGCCATGTAAATACCATACGGAAGTGTAGCTACCAGCGAGAATATCCATATGGTAGCGATTATTTGCGCCGTGGTCCATATGGTCATCCGAGGTTGAAACGGGTAGATGATGACGAAGAACCGGTCGATGGCAATAGACGTCAGCGTCAACGTGGACGTGTATACGCTTGTACCCTGGGCGTATGGCACGATATGACAGAATATCTCACCAAACATCCAATGACCTGCATTAATAAAAATAAAAACATCATTATTGCATCGTTTCAAAACGTGTTAACAAGCTTGACACATTTCGCCGTTTCGCTACCGAGTACTAATTTAACTAGAGAAAAACAATAATTATTTAATTCATTGTTAGGACAATTATGTATTATACTAAGTGATACAACAACATGAAACTAAATCATGAGGTAACCAAGTTCTGGGGAGGTGTAATGAAATTATATTGTAAAATATGTATTTGTTACGATTTTTGCATAATTTTATATCTTCAATACATAAAATTTTAGTGATCAAATCCAAACTAAAATTTATAATAAAATTAATATTTTCAGCATGTTTGATAAGACAAGCACGTTTTCTTGCAGAAGTGTTAAAGTGGTTTTCCGCACACCGATGGAGAAGGTAAGTTATTAAATTTACCTCTACCGATCATTATGCGTTTTCCATAACGAATTAATGTAGTATAATTCTATGCGCTATATTTGTTTTTGCCCACGTGTGTCTATGTTAGATGTGATACACCATTGCGTTTGATTATAGGTTTATTCAGGACGTCGAAATAATCCTAAATGATAAGTCCCCCCGGACGTTTTGGGCAGGTTGTGAAAAAGGGTTTGTCAGTATCACTCGAATGCGATAGAGAAGAGTGTCGTCGTCGTCGTGTTCGAATGCGTAGATCCCTCGGAAACCATTCAATTTCATTTTCTATTCGACAAATGGAACCTCAGATATGGTATATTATACATGCAACGTATATATATATATATATATAGAGTTGTATAATTATGTCTGTATATATATATGTAAAAAACAATAGCAGTTATAACAAAAGGGTCGCACAATAAATTTCGTGGCTTGTCAAAAAGTAGACGCGCTTTTCTTTTAATCGCACCCAAGTGATATGCTTTTGAAAAAAAAAAATAATAATAATAATAATAAAAATACATTTTTGCGATTACTGAAAAATTATGTATGGAATGTAATATATTGATTACTTATATATATAATATATTTATAATAACATAAATCGATAACATATAAAAATAAATATGAATACAGACAGTATAGAAGTATGTGATATTGATTATAATCATAAGTCATTCAATTGACTAAGATATATAAGCAATAATATTGTGTTCGTAAACAAATGAAAATGAAAATTCCACCGCGGTTATATGTAATTATGGTAGACAAAATAAACGATATTTATGAAGGAAATTTACTAAGCAACTATTTTACTTCAAACATTATTGAAGGTAGATGGATAATGGTCTTATGGACCCATCTAAATATGTACACAGCGTCGTGGCCATATAGGTTTAGTGGATTATGTGAGTCATTGAAGGTTAATAGTATAAAAGGATAGCTAAAAGCTTCCAAGGCATGAAAACAGTAAGCGTCACCACAAATATTGAGTTTCTTGTGCAATTATTAAAAAACAAAGTATTTCAAGGTTGAAAATGAATTTTACCTATGCTATTGTATTATAGAAACTAATTATTTCTTTATTAGAAAATTAATTGTAGTTGGATTATATTAATAATGTAGCATGGTTTGTGAAATAACACATATATAGCTCAAAACGCTCTTAGACAGTTTAAGTATACATTAATGAAAACATTTGAATAATCTAAAAAATTATTTTGTTATAGTCTGAAAACTATATATTATTTAATAGTACGTATAAAAAGCAAAACATTTCAAAGTAAACAATATAAAATATACTCTTTGTCAATAGTTTTAGTATATTACATAATTTAACTCATTAGCTATAAACGATTATAATTCATGATACGTTAAGACTGAAATTTTTTTGCGTATGATTACGCGGAGAAATGTTGTTATTAAGGTTTTTTTTTTTTTTGTTTTTACTTATTAAAAACGAATACAAAATTATGTAAATATAATAAAGCGGTTTTTAGAGTAAAATCGAAGTTTTTCATCAAAATAGCTTGTCGAGGGCGATAGAATTACTATGGTTTAACTTTACTATTGATCTCCCGAAATACTTTTACAGTTTCATCACGGATCCTCGAATGCCCTAACTGTTTTACTACTATAATAATCTCGTCTATAACTGCTCGGTCGTAATCAAATATTTATTGATTTAATCGGTGTCTTGTCACTAAAATTATACCATGTACCAACTATAAACCACACGCATAAACGATTCTTGAAATACGAGTATATATAAAAAAAAACATAATGACAGAATATGCAGTATCTAGACTTGTATGTATTGTCACGTGATGGGTACCTATACGTCAGACACGATTGTTGCAGTTGCTATATTATGTTCACTTATTATAATTTTTATTATAGTTAGGTATAGAAAAAAATGTAAAAATTATTATTTTAGAAAAATTCGTTTAAACTTTCCTTTTCGATAAATGGCTTTTTAAAAATAGAATATTAAGTGTCGATATATAATATATATAGAAATAAATATATAAATTATTTGTAATTTATTTAAATTCTCGTTTGATTTCAACTTGATCTGATTGAAATGTATCAAACCGATCCGTATAGAAATAGACAAGTACAACAAAGGCTGACTACGACAATAATACGTGACACATTTGTACGAACCAAAAGCTCCGAATTGCATTGTCCACGCATCCATTACTGAGTGGGCAATTCTTCTCTGGGGTGGTAATTTCAACCATGGTTATGCTTTAGCTTGTATTATGGCAGGTGAATCGCATTTCGTATCATGTGAATAATTTATACTTATATATATATATATGTATCTATTATAATTCAATAGTAATATATAGTGGTTTTCGCAAAATTGATTGCAAACCAGATACACACGTCCCCTTTATTCGTCTTGTACTTAGGTTCGAACACATTTGATTGTTTACTGTCACACGTACTACTGAATAAACCATAGGTTCTTCAATTTCCATTTTAAGATGAATCAACATTCTATCCGTGAGAATATATATGTATATATATATATATATATATATATATTCCACAGGATATTCTGAGCCGGTCATCCTTATATAATTCATATAACAGCTTTCAACAACAATAATAATAATAATAATAATAATAGGAATATCTATAGCAGTTTATAATGAAAATTGAACTGACGATGAAATTCGTTGAAAAATAGAACAAAAAAAAAAAAAAAACACCATGGTTTTCGTATTCATTTAAAAGTAGAAAAAATGGCCATTGTGTAAAAACCATATCCTTGTTACTTGATGTGTAATAAGGCGCAATAATATTGATCGTTTTGATATGGTTCCTCATGGTTGACGTGAGCATGCATAGGTATGGAAATATTGAGTAAAAAATTAATATCTTTGGGTACGGATTTTGAACCTACGGCAATCGCTAGACTACTGCCGATTATATTTTTGTTTGTTATTTTATACTTAATTAGTGAAGGTTATCCATATTATACAGTTGAGGAGAGATAACGCGCCACATTAATTTGGCTGTATAGATGGTTATAAATAATACAATATTTGTGAATGCGTCAGAGTAGAATAATCATCTAAACATATATTTTATGGGTTTCACACTTAAATTATACCATCGGGCAATAGTCGCCAAATTTGGTTCTCGGTTAGGTACATTCTGAAGTATTTTAAAATTGTTTTTTTAGATTATCAAAGCACAGCGCACACACATTCAAAATGCGCATATTTTTGTATAATTTTAACTGATTGCATCTAATAAATTACAGTGAATTATTATATTTTCATTGAAGTATCGGGAAAATTGGTTTAGATTTTATTTACTGCCACATTACCGTTAATGAAGTCAGTCATATTTCATATAAAATAGATATACGATTTTGTATCTAAAAAATGTTTACGTTTTATATAGTAAAGTGGGATGGATAAGAATTAAGTAAAAACTTTGAGATTACATTTATTGTATACATTTTTTATACATTCATAAACATATATACATATGTATATATACATATATACATATGTATATATACATATATACATACAAAAATACACACAAACAAACAGACACATGCAATATTTTAATGAAGGTTTTTATTTTTAAATTTTCCTTTGTATAAAAAAATTAATCCTTACATTTTAAAGTTAAAAGATAGTTATAAAAATCTTTAAAAAATTAAAATTTAAACTTTTAACCACATTCAAAAATAAAAATAAAAATGTTTAAATAATAGATTATTACAACACGTATTATCCGACCAAATAAATAATATAAATAATGAACCGCAATATTATACGCATAATTCTGTTGGGTTCATAGCAATGCATATAAATTCATATATAATTCATAGCAATGATTTCAAGCTAATATTGTTATTTAAGATTGAATTATGACCACGATGTTTTGAATTCGATGGTATCCTTCGTACGTGCGCTTATTATATTACATGGCCGTCTCGCGTACACTAGACGTTTGAACGACAATACTTTAGAATCATTTTTATTTCCATTACGGTAGATATTGTTATTTTTTTATTTTTTGTCCCCCAATAGAATACTGCTCGTTACTGCGGTGGGAAAATATCACAAAAACCCACGCGATAGTGCAATTCAACGTAGTCCGAGGACGAAGCGTTCATACGCGTCCGGATGGTAACGGTTTTTATTCACGACGTCAGAAAGTAAAAATAAAAAATTTAAACGCGAAAAAATAAAAACACCAACAACCTTTATTTTCTCTTCTGCGCCGCGTGTATATCAGTTTGTTTGACGCGTAGAAAACAAAATTGATACGTCATCCACATGTACTTTTTCTGCGAACAAAACGACGTGTGATGCCCAATGGTACATGGCATCGTACGTCGTGTTCGTGTAGCAAAGTAGAACATAATTTAAGTAATTTTCACTGGGTGGTACTTCACCAAAATTGTCTATCAGAGGAAAATAGAGGGAAAATCAATTCATGTCATTACGGTCTTTATGAGAACGTGTATGTTAAGAGTACGATCACCCACCACTGGGTAGCATTAAATTATCAATAGGAGGGGGACACTAGCGTAATATACTTTGTA